CAGTGCTCCTGCTTCAGGGCTGTGGTGGCTAGTAGCTTGCTGCTTGGGCATATTGGAAAGCTTTGTGTCCCACCTCCAAAACATATTGTGTGCTTTGAATTAGTTGAAGAAACACTAAACACATCTGAATGATTTTTTGGTAATTATTCTAAAGATTATCTATGGGAATAAAGTTTTGTACACAGCTCTACTTGTGGACATGGAGAGGTCTGAACTTTACAAACTTTAATTAGACTTTGGGGAAAGCTGATCAGGAAGGGAGATTAGAGAATGTGTGACAAAATTCTCATTTTACTGACTGTGTTTGCTCAATTTTGAAAGTACTTTGTTGCTAGGTTAAAATTTTTGAGTATGTTTAATGTACTATTATTTCACTCCCCTCTCCCAAGCTGCTGTTGGACTGATGTTGTGTTTTATAGTTAAGGACGTCTCAGAATTCAGGACATGAGCTCTATGGGCTGGAGCTTCTTATCACAGCCATAAAATGATTGGTATAAAGTTCTGGGGCTTTATTAAAAACCTGTCTTCATTTTTCCTATAATTTTTACTTTGAAAAAGACTAGGGAATATTTCTGTAGGATTAGTATTAAGACACTTTTATGTCTTATGTAATATGTTTTATAAGGTTCATTGTGAAATACTTGGAAACTATAGAAAAGTATAAACAAGAACATAAATTTAGACTTCCTCAACTCATAGTCAATGTATCATTTGTATTTTGGTAAATAACTCTAGTTTACCTTTCTCCTTCCCCCTTCCCTCTTTCTCTTCTTTCTCCCCATCCGTCCCTCCCAACTATTTCTAAATCTATCAATATTTCAATCTCTGTAGATATTTTCCCTCAAATGTCCAATTTTACTGCATTTATGCTTATGTTTTACTCTGCAGTTAACATCATGTGGGAAATATGTTCACATACTTTGAAATGTTTTTTAAAACAATTTCAATTAAGTTGTATAATAGGTCATAATTTAATGACTATCTATTCTTAGATATTCAAACTGGTGACAGGTTTTGTTTTAGGTTTTGGTGGGACTTTTTGGTAATTATAAATTATCCTATAAGATGATCTATGAGCATGAAGTTTTGTACATAGCTCTGATCGTTTCTTTAAGATAAAATCTTAAATTAAAATGTTAGAATCTATTCTGGACCAAAGGGGATAAATACTTGAAGATGTTTGATACATATTAAGGAATTATTCTCCTGGATGGTTATCTTATTTAAACTTCCACCAATCCTGTATAGGAGTGATCTGGGGCTCTTACACAGAATTTTCATCAGCGATCTTGGAGATTAACTAATTTTAGAATTTAGTATTATAATTCAACATAGTTTTGACAGTTTAGAGAGTTGGTTAGTTGATGGTAAATTATAGTAGAGAAAAGTAAGGGTAAGAGAAATTGGAGAGTAAATATTGTCAAAATATTCTTTGCAGAGTAGCTGTTTATGTACATACTAGAAGCCCGATGCATGAAATTCGTGCAGGAGTAGGCCTTCCTTCCCCTGGCTGCCGGCACCGGCTTCCCGGTGGCACCTGGGATCCGGGCTTCCCTCCAGCTGTTGGCAGGCTCCGGGGACCTGCAGCCCTGGCTTCATCCCAAAGGATGTCCTGTCTAATTAGCATATTAGGCTTTTATTATTATAGATTGCTTGAAGGAGAATCCAGGGATCTTAAGGAATGTGACTAGATTTTGCAAAGCCCTGTTCTCAAATGCAAAGAAAAATAAAGCACTTGACTCTATTTTAAAAAGACTGTTAAAATTTTATATTTTCAGCTATTAAGAATTCAAGGACACTATATATCTTAGGGGAACATTAAATGTTCATTTTAATTATTTACTATAATTATTTGAGCATCAATTGAATATTTAAAAAGTTTTTAAATATATTGTGACAGAAGATTTGACTTTGTGTGATGGACCCACAATGCAATATATAGATCATATATTATAGAAACCTATATTTGAAACCTATATCTTACTAACCAATGTGACCCCAATAAATTTAATTTTAAAGAAAGGAAAAAAAATGCAAGATAATTTAAAAAAAAAAGGTTTTCTGAAAGTTACTACTGATCTTTCCTAAATAAAACAGAGAATATGTTTAGGAAGCTCATCTTTTTTTCTCCCACAACATTTTAGGAGAAATAGAATTATCTTTACCTTGCTAATGGCACATGGAGGATAGGAACCACAAAGACCCCAAATATCGAAAGCAGTTTTGAGAAAGAAGAATAAAGTTAGAGGTATCACTCTACCTGATATCAAATTACACTACAAGACTATAATAATCAAAACAGCATATTACTAGTATAAAAACATACATAAAGTTCAACGGAACTAAATAGAGAACCCAGAAATAAACACACACCTACATGGTCAATTAATCTATGAAAAGGAGGCAAGAATATACAGTTGGATAAAGACAGTCTTTTTAATAATTGGTGTTGAGAAACTGAACATATGCATGCCAAAGAAAGAAACTGGATCATTTTCTTACACCCTATACAAGAATAAACTAAAAATGGATTAAAGATGTAAATGTAAGACCTGAACCCATAAAACTCCTGGAGTAATAACGTAGGCAGTAAAAATTTTAACATCGATAGTAATAAATACAGTTTTTGGATATGTCTCCTCAGACAAGGGAAACAAAAACACCCAATGGGACTATATCAAACTAAAGAGTTTTGCACAATGAAGGAAACCATTAGTGACGAAAAGACTACCTGTTGAGTGGAAGAAGACATTTGGAAATGATGCATTCAGTAAGGAGTTAATATCCCAAATATATGAGGAACTCATACTACTTAACATAAAAACATAAATAATAAATTAAAAAATAGCAGAAGACCTGAATAGACATTTCTCCAATGAGGACATACAGATGGGCAATAGATGCTCAACACTACTAATCATCAGGGAAATGCAAATTTAAACCACAATGAGAGATCACCTCACAACTGCCAGAATTGCTATTAATAAGTAAACAAAAACAAATAAGTGTTGGTGAGGATGTGGAGAAAAGGGAACACTTGTGCACTGCTGGTGGGATTGCAAACTGCTGCAGCCATTATGGAAAACAGTATGGAAGTGGCTCAAAACTACTATAAAACTAGGACTACCATATGTCTTAGCAATTCTGATTATTCATCTGAAGATTTCCAAAATACTAATTAAAAAAAACATATGCTCCCCTATGTTCATTACAGCATTACTTACAATAGCCAAGATACAGAAGCAACCTAAGTGTCCTTCGATAAATGAATGGATAAAGAAGACATGGTACATATATACAATGGAATAGTAGACAAAAAGAAGAATGAAATCTTGACATATGCGACTACATGGATGGACCCAGAGGGTATTTTGCTATGTGAAATAAGCCAGACAGAGAAAGACAAATACCATGTGATTTCACTGATATGTGGAATCTAAAAAACAAAATAAATGAACAAAGAAGATAGAAACAAAATCATAGATACAGAGAACATTTTGATGGCTTCCAGATGGGAGGGGGGCTAAGGGAATGGGTGAAAAAGGGAAGGAATTAAGATGTACAGATTGCCAGTTAAAAAACAGTCACAGGGTTGCAAAGTACAGCATAGACAATATCATCCTATCTAATAAAAGACAAAAAGGGTAATTAACCGTACCTCCGCTATGCTTCCCATTGGCTAATCAGGGTGATATGCAAATTAACTGCCAACAAAGATGGAGGCTGGCAGCCACGCAGCTGAAGCAAACAGGAGGCTTGCTTGCTCCAGTGATGGAGGAAGCCAAGGTTCCCCACCTCCTGCGGCCCGGCTCTTAGCTCTGAAAGCAAAAATGTTTAATTATAGAAGCTAAACAAACCCCAGATACCTGCTTTCAGCCTACCGGGGCCTCAGAGCTTAGAGCGCCAGTGATGGCAACAGAGTTTCAATTATAGAAG